CTATACATTTTGTATCAAATGTATAGTAACTTTTGCCAGTCCAAATGATGAGAAAGACATTTTATAAAATCTTACAGACATAAAAAAAAAACTTACAGAAACTCATGATGTTTATGATATCCTAATGTCTCCATGCCTTATAGTCACATTTAGCAGATCATGCGGAGGCAAGAGTAGATTTAACAATCCAAAAAGAGGGCACGTAATGCACGTCTTCATCAATTTGCACTGGCTACCAATAGCTGCTCGCATCAAATTTAAGGCATTGATGTTTTTGATGTTTGCCACCACTGGCTCTGCACCCCTTTACCTAAATTCATTACTTCAGACTTATGTGCCCTCTAGAAGCTTGCGTTCTGCAAGTGAATGTCGCTTTATTGTGCCATCCCAAAGAAGCACAAAATCACTTTTACAGACTTTTAAATTAACTGTTCCCTCCTGGTGGAATGACCTGCCCAACTCAATCTGAGCAGCTGAGTCCTTAGCCATCTTCAAGAATCGGCTAAAAACACATCTCTTCCATCTTTATTTGACCCTCTAACTCTAGCACTCTCTATTCTAATTCTATTCTTTAAAAAAAACTTGTCCCTTTTAGACTTGCACTCTATTCATTTGCTGCTTGTTTTCTTAAAAAAAAAAAACTAACACTTGCTTTCTAATCTTTTTGTATTCTATCTGTTTTCTTTTCATTTATTATACAATTAACAAAAGCAAAAAAGACCTCTAACACTAGTTTGCTCTATTCTTTTTCTATTCTATCTGTTTTCTTTTTATTTATTATTTAAAAAAAATCGTGCTACGTGTACTGTGTTAAGCTAACTGAGACTTGTTATAGCACTTGTATATCATTGCTCTTTTGTTGATTTTGATTGCTTCCATTGTCCTTATTTGTAAGTCGCTTTGGATAAAAGCGTCTGCTAAATGACTAAATGTAAATGTAAATATCAAAGCATGATAATATAAATATTTCTTGAACAGATATACAAAAAAAATATTATTAATAATAATAAAAAAACATGTACGAGACTGTCATACAAATAACTTAAATGCTTCACATAAAGTCCTATTGCGTTTTGCTTTACTATTTTTCAAATCAAGAAATAACTCAATATAATGTTTAATTTCTACCTTAACAAAAAAAAAGTCTTTCCTTTGGCCCATTTCTGTTTATGCATATGGTTTTTCCCCATATTCAAACAAAAGTTGACAATAAAAGCCACATTTTGTGATAATCTTTGTCTATCAAAAAATAATAAATAATAATAATAATAAAAAATAAATAAATAAATAAATAAAACCCTTTCAATTCAATACAAAACATTCTTCTATAAATGCAGTTAAAAAAAGAACAACATTCTCCATTTCCAATCCACAAAAGTCACATCTGGTATCTCTATGAATACAAAACCTTAGAAAAAGTGCTTTAATAGGATTCACAATGAACTATTCTCACCTTAGCTATACAGTATTTTTAGGCAATAATCCATGGCATGTATATTTCCACTCAGTGCACTAAAATGATTGACAAATGTTTTAGGAGAAAGTGAATTATATCCTTTTAGTAAATTCCTAATTAAGTAATTATTCCATCTCCTGTCTCTAATATGTAATATTAAAGGGGTCATATGGCGTTGCTAAAAAGAACATTATGTTGTGTATTTGGTGTAATGAAATGTGTTTATGCGGTTTAAGGTTAAAAAAACACATTATTTTCCACATAATGTACATTATTGTTGGTCCTCTATGCCCTGCCTTTCTGAAACACGTAGATTTTTACAAAGCTCATCGTTCTGAACAGCGAGGTGTACGCTGATTGGCCAGCTATCCAGTGCGTTGTGATTGGCCAAATACCTCAAGCGTGTGACGGAAATGTTACGCCCCTACCATACTGTGATGCCGTGTCCCGGCCGGAGCGACCAATAAAGCCCATTACAAACGAGGAATTTGTTGCATCCAGTGGGGAAATAATTACTGATTATAATGACTTATACTGTGTCTTATACTGTGTTGCGTATCGCGCCACGTAAACATAAAACCATGTCTGCATTTGTGATCGGAGAAACGACAAACAACAAGCGCTACTCTACACTGCTCAAAATTCGCATTTGAATCATCAGTGGCAAATTCTTTAAATATAAAAAATGTACTTACAGGCTGTGAGTCAGAAGCGCCAGACTGTCCTTGCAAAGTTGGAACTGCCCCACTTTATAGAACAGCCTTTGTGCACAGATGCATAGGCTACTCTGTAGGTTCAGGAAACAGTCCTCCATAAAATGCGCTGCACACATCTGAATATTTGGGTTGAACTGTTCTGGAACAGTGTTGTAAAAACAACTTAACCACTGATTTCTAGTTGTGTCCTCTTTTGGAAGGCAAAACAAAGTAGTTTCGCTTTCACAACGAAACACACAGCATCACACACGACGGGCTTGAGAACGGCGCGGCCGGCGGATTTGACGAAGGAGCGTCCGGAAGGCTTGCAGCAACCACATGTGACGACCCCGGGCTGGACTCCGCTTCGTCCACGGTGAAAGCTAATCCGGCGATTGACAGCGCAAAGTTGATGTATTTCCTCAGTGACCAGCACACATCAGCTCCAGGCATGACGAAGCGGATATCGTCCTCTTTTGGAAGGCCAAACAAAGTAGTTTCGCTTTCAAAAGGAAACACAGCGCCTTCACGACATGGCGGCAGCAACAATACTACAGCGAGAATAAAAGTTACGCCTTCTTTCTTTGCGTGAACATTTGGGC